GTCTGGATTATCGAGACGAGGCCATACTGCTGTTTGCCGTTGCACCTCGTCGGCCTGGTGACTCACTGTCTCAAAGGGAGGGGAAAATCACAGATTGCTCATCTCACTTCTGGAGAACGAGTCTATTCTCGAGTTCGACAAACATTCGCGCCATCCAAAGTAGTAATCTCTGCAGTTTTCTACGGGATTCTGCAGTGTTCGTTGGTGGTACTACACTGGGACCCAAACCGGAACGGAACCAGTCCATCGCTGCACCCAGCGAGGTCATATGGCAGCTGGCAGCATCAATGGACTTACGCCCCTCCCCGGCATTTACCCTTATCCAATGCACTAATACCCCTCCAACGAAGTCACACATCTCCAATGCACTTACTTACACTTATGCCCCTTCAACGCACTTACGCCCCTTCAATTCACTCACGCCTCGCTTATTCACTTGCCAATACCCTGCCAAGGTACTTATTTGCGCCCCACCGACGCACTTGTGCCCCTCCAAGACACTTTTGCCCCTCCAGTGCACTATCGCACCCCGCCAATGCACTTACGCACCTCCAATGCACTTGCGCCCCTTGCCCTTGCGGCCGCCGGCATGAATCGCTGGCCGGCCGCGGGCGTGCCGAATCGCGCTGCAATAACGGGTGGCGTGGCGTGGCGTGGCGTGGCGTGGCGTGGCGTGGCGCGGCGGCGGGCCGTTTGTTCGCATGTTTACGCAGGGATCGACGCGCGAGAGTACTTTATTTCCAGCCGCCCCGGTGCACAAAAGGACGGCCGGCCGACGCGCCTACCGCCAGGGCACCGCCAGGGTATACCGCCAGGGCACCGTCAGGGTACCGCCCAGCAACGCCGATTCCAGGCAATTTCCTTTTTGCGCCGTTAAACGCGTTGTGTGCCCGGGCGGCCTGGACGACGGGACCCGCCACGCCAGCAGCAGGCCTACAGAGGGGCATATCTTTATGACGACTCCGCCATCATGCTTGCTGCTGCTGCTGCTGCTGAGTAGGAGGACGAAAAAGAAATGAGGCTGCTGCGGGCTGGAGGGAGAGGGAGTGCGGGACAGAACTGATACGCAACGCAGTGTGTGTGAGTATATGCGCGCCCGGCTGAGCAGCCTGGAGGTGGAATGTGCTTTACCCGCCGCGTATGTCCTTGCGGGCCGGGGCTGTAAATTACTGGGACTCCCTTCTGTTCCAGCCCGGCCCTGGCCAGGCCCCCGGCCCTGCCGCCGACGGCGGTGCAGCGCGCGGTAGCGACGCGCCGCGACACCCGAGCCCGGCGGGGCCCGGAGGAGCTCGGCCCTCGGCATCCATGACCATGACCACGACGACGCTGCCCCGCGCATTTGCATGTATACTCTGCGCGCGCCGCACTCGAGGATGAAAACGGTGAGGATCCAAATACGAAGCGGGAAGAGGAAGATGGAAGGCACCGTGGACCGGACGGAGCAAGGGCTTGCCGACGACGGTTTCGAGACACACCAAACGTGTTCCAGCTTTCTTTATCTTTACCAGAAGTACGACGTCGGTCCCGGGGAAAGGGGGGCGGGGGCGCCGCCACCGGGGTCCAGGCCACCCAAATCACCCCTCTGCCCTGTCGCACAGGCATATGTTGGCCATCGTTTCCTCGCCGATTCCGTTCTAGTCTTCTAGCCCATAACTCAGGGGGTTGGGTTCCTCCCGGCGTGCCCCGGGCGGGGCGGGGCCGGCTACCGGGGACCGCAGAGCAGCTCTGCCAGCGCCGGGCTGCTGGGCCGGGCGGGGCGCCCAGCAGGGGACCCGTGCAAACGGCTTACAGGCCTGAAGGCTGGCGGCCGGGTAGGCCTGGATGAAATTACACTATACCGAGCGCACACACGGCAAATGAGTGATAAATAAGCGAGCTGCAGGGCCTGGTGGCCCGCGGGGTACCCGGCCCGGAGGCCACCCTCCCCGCCTCCAAGCAGCCTGCTACCGTGCAAGGTGTGAATGCGTTTTTGACATTGGACGGCCGACACCGACCGCGCCATGTACGCCATTCAGAGCTCGTCCTCGGCCTAAGTGGGTGTCCGCTCGGTGTCCGCTCGGTGTCCGCACTCCCCCATAACTCCCTGTCGTCGGAATGTCGAGGCGCCGCGAGAGAGGCGCTGCTGCCGTGGCCGCCCCGCCCCGCCACTCCATCCCTAACAAACTACAACGCCTGCGATAGCAATCTCGAGGGAGGAAGAAGAGGTAAATGCGAATTAGCCAGCGGATTAGCATACGACTATCACCCTGCCGGGCCGGGCCCGTCCCTGGCTCCCCCTGGCTGGCCACTGTGGCGTCGGGATCATGGCCGCTGGCCGCGCCGCCGCCGCCTCGACCCGCCACGCCGCGCCGAGCCACGCCACGCCCCATTCAGAGGAATCTCCTTCGTTAGGCCCCTCCGGCCCCACCCCGCCACGCCCCGCCACGCCGACAGCCCGCCGTTACACACAGAGTGGATAATAATGTAAGATTGAAAAAATAAAATCAGCGCGTTCTTAACCGTGCACGTCCGCCGGCACGAATGACAGTCCCCATCTGCATATGGCCCTGCGGAGGGTCCACACTCACTCTTCACGTATTTTCGCCCAATCCGTGCGCTATCAGCCAATCCTCTCGACTCGCTCTGCCTGCATGTCCAGTCCAGTCGGAGGCGCGGCGGCGAAGCCAAGACTTCCCTGCTGTCCCCCGCAGCAGCCCCCCCCCCCCCCCCCCCACCAACACCGACTACGCCGCTGCATCCAATTACAGATCAATACTTGAGCGGCTAGCCGGCCCAAATTGGGCGTCCGGGGGCCTGAGCCCAATTACGGGGGAATGGTCCGCCGGTAGGTTTGGTCTGCTCATCGGCGGGGCCGGGCCGAGCCGGGCCGGGTGGGGCCGTTGGGGCGGCGACGGCGCTTGGCACTTTATCCGCCAAACACGGACTTTCTAACGAGGTCTGTCCCGCGGGCTCGGGCCCAGCCAGGCGATAGGCCAAACCCACCACCACCACCACGGCGGATACACCAGTCATGTGGGAGCGCGGTAGCGGTAGCGCCCTGACCCTAACAAGCGTGTGGGGTCGCACACGTCATCCTCGTTACGCTTAGCGTTACAACTCCCTCGTAAAACCCCGTCGCCGTCGCCAATCAATGCAACGTTATCGTAAAGACGGCCGACTTATCCTCGCGCGCGGCCCCGCCACGTCGCCGTGCCCATCCGGAGCGGGACGTTACGAGGCAGAGCAGGGCGGCCGCACCCACACCCACACACCCTGTCACTCTCTCTCTCTCCCTTCTAAATAAAAACTAACCAACTTCTTTTCTCTTTCTTGTTCGTCCCCGCGGCGCCCGCCGGACATGTGAGTTCACACAGGAGCTGCTGGCGTCAGGAGCGATGAGGAGGGGGAGAAGTGGGGAGCAGCGAGGGGGATCCCGACGACGGGACGGGATCGAATCCCCACCGGCTACCTCACGTAATTTTCCAATCAACACACTGATTCATACGCCAGGGGCTTGTTAATTGATTGTACATATCGGCTGATTGCTCATTCGACGCTGCTCGCCCGGGCAGGCAGTCGGGAGGAGGCAGGGCGCCGCGCTGCCGCGCCGCCGACCGGACTCACGTCCAACAGCAGCACCAGTCTGGAGGGGAAATGGAGATACACCGTGAATAAAGACAACCTCGCTCAGCCCGGGCGGTCCTCTGCTGCGCAGGACGGACCTGGAGGACTCTGGCCTCCGACAAGGATCATAGACCTCTGACCTATGACCATAGGTCTATGACAAGGACTACGCAACGTCGAGGCAGACCGCGCGACGTGAAGACCACCTCTACCAAAGGGATGATGCAAAGTTCGAAGAGCAAATCGTCGAAGAGGATCACGACCAGGACCCTGCGGCAAAGCTGGTCTCATACTCACCCTCACACCGCACCGCACGCCCCGTCGAGCTATATAGATCCAGCTCATCACGGCCACTCTCTCTGCGGCCCCATTATTCCCCCGCCCGAGCAGGCACCTGACCTGCCATGGGAGCCGCTGCTGCTGCACTGCGGACGCCGTAGGCTCCCGCCCCGGCCCGCGCTGGCGCGCCGCAGCTTCCGGGCGGGTGGGTCCGGAGTCCCCCGCGGGGGCTGATAATGATCCCGGCCCGGAGCCGAGGAGAGAAGAGCGGGAGCGGGAGCTACCCCGCGGAGCCCGGAGCGGGGGCCCGGAGGACGCGCACGCCGGCCAAGGCACGGCCTCATCCCAGGCAATCAGTGGCGCTCAGCAGCTCGGCGCTCAGCAGCCCGCCTTGCTGGACCCGGGGCGTAACGCGGAGCGGGCAGGGCCCAGCAGCGCCAGGGCTCAGCGCCCCGCGGGGGGCAGCAGCAGCAGCAGCAGCCTCGGCAGCACACCGGCAGCCGACGCTTAATGGATCATTTTAATTCCTCGGGCGACGCGGCGCCCCGGCTGGACCCGCTCCGCCCTGCCGGCACCCCGCGACGCGCGGCCAACAAACGCACGTGGGCGGCGCGCGGCGTCGCGGGGCGTCACTCTCGCGGGGCAATCTATCACCTCCCCGAACAAGGCCCGCGCGCCGCGCGCCCCGGTCAGCCACGGCTGCTTCGATATAACAGAGAATGGCATGTTCAAATTCCAACATATTTGCATGACTTTTTCTTGTCCAAATTCAAGCACGGTGCCCCTGTGCTTCGATAAGGATATGATCTTCAAATACACTCCGTGACATTATTTGTACGACTTTTCCATGGCCGATGTCAGTCTCTTTCCTCGGGTATTCTCCCAAGAATATATTTAAATTTAAAAATTTGAAAGGAAATTTCGTTTTGCCGCACAAGACAGCAGAGAACGCCGCCGATTTCGCGTGATTTCTATTGTTTGCCTGATGAGGCGACCGGTCCCGAAGGCGTTGTTATTCCTGACTGTATAACAGCCACGGGCACGGCTCGACTCTTCTTACATTTCAAATAGGGCGCTGCCGCTCGTGGTGCATACCGGTGGTGGTGGAGCTCGCTTACCTTGAACGTGGCCAGGCGGGGGTTCTCGGCGGACAGCTTGTGCAGCGACTGGTAGTCGCACTGCGACGCGCGGACCAGCCACTCGCGGGACTTGGGGTCGAGCAGCGTCACCGACACGGCGTCGTCCTCAGGCACCGTCCGGGCGCCGGCCGCCTGCTGCAAAATAAGAAAACACACAAAGGGTCATTCAACTTGTCGTGTCGCCGGGACGATTTCTCATACACCCTGCGAAGCGGCGGCGGCGACCCCTCCCGGTCGGCGGCCCGGGGACGAGCCTCTGCGAAGCCCCGCAGCGCCGAAGAGGAGCAGGAAAGGCGGCCCCCGCCAGCCCGTCCTCCCCCTGCTGCAAGGGCCCCTGCGAGGTGCGGCCCGCGGCACATAGCGACATCAGCGATGAGCCCGTGTTTTGCGTGCACAGCGCGCACACGTCAAACCAGGGCCCGATGCGGGGCTTCGATGCACCGCACACGACGCGCCCAGCGGCGCCGCCGAGGACGCGGTGCCGGCGGCCGGGGGGCGGGAGGCCAGGCTGGGGGCGGGGGTGCACGGCAAAGCGCAAAGGGGGGATCCCTCGCGCCCCGCGACCGGGATGGCGTGCGAATGAGGGTGTCGGCACGCAGCGTTTGAGTGATTTGTGAGGCCGTGTCGATCGCGGCAGCAGCGGGGCCGGCCGCCGCGCGGCTGCCCAGTGGCTGACCGGTGGTTCAATTTTTAATGAGGGGGGGAGGGGGGCACGTCAGGTGAGGCGAGGTGGACCTGAACACCGGCGGAGCGGGGAGCCTCCCGCAAGCGGCCACGATCATAAACCGGGATTCATTATTACAAATCCCATTGACTGCCTGCCTATGGCCTGTGGCTGCTTTGGAAGGGCACAGGTCCTCCCTCTCTCTCTCTTACTTTCGCGTCGAGATCGACTCCCACTTCACCTCTCTCTCTTTCTCTCTCCTTTCTCCACCGCGCTTGATTTGTTCGTTTTATTATTTGTTTTCAATCAGCGCGGGGAGATCTTTTATTTCCTTGCGCGCGGCGCAGCGGGGGAATGGAGAAGGAAGAGTGGGGAAAAGGGGGGGGGACAATCATGCAAGCAACCTATGGACATCGTTGTGTTGTACGGGACGTGGCGCCTATACTCGAGGACTCGAGGTGCACGACGGGGAGGACGGGGCAGGGGGGAAGACATCACACACACAAACACATTCACACACACACACACAGAGACCGCGCACGAGACACACTGCTCAGCTCACCCTCTCCGTGGACGGCGCCGAGTACAGCCTCATGATCTGGGGGGCTCACTCTCAAAAGGGCCTATAAGACACATCAATCAGCTGATGATGACTACCGCTGTTCGGCCCGGCCCGGCCCGACGACGCGACGGTCTGCTCTCGGACGTCTCGTCTCGTCCCCTCCTCCCGGCCCCGTCCCGCAGGTCTTATCAGCCCCTTATCACGCCCTTATCGCAGACGTAGCGACGGACGGCCCCCCGGCCTAAAGAGACGTGGGGCGCTACCTGAGCCTGAGCGCGGCCGTGATCACCGCGTCGACGGCAACGGCGGTGTTTATGGACCACCAGAGGCCAGAGAGGGTGACCCCCGGGTCCCGCCAGAAACAAACAAACGTCACCCACCACTCCGCCCTCAACACCCTCCGCGCGCCGGCCACGGCCACACAACCATCAAAAATTTCATAAATTTCAATCTCGCAGCAGCAGCAGCGAGTAGCCGGGCTGACCGTCACCCGCGAGGCGCACACTTTTATGAAGGGCATATTTCACGCGAGTCGAGCGCCTAATTTGATGCGGCAATAAATACACTGCGGACATCAACACCCCGCGCGCCGCCCCCGCGCCCCCGCCGCCCTTCGGACCGCCCCCACCGCCCCCGCGCCACCAGCCGCCGGGTCCAGCCGGCAGCCAGCCACTCCATTCCGCGGGCGAAAAATGATATATTACACACGGGAACACGTACTAAACACAGTGACACGCCGCCGCGCCCACAACGCCCTGGCCCCGCCCCGCCCCGCCCCGCCTGTCGAGCCCCGGCCTAGCGGTCACTGCGCGCGAGGTCGAGAGGGCAACAAGCAAAAACGCTAAGGGCAATTTATGCAACGCACAGGTCACAAACGAAAAAGGGCACAGACAGGACGGCCGCAACTCCTCTTTTCCTCTCGGTCTATCTCTGTCGCGCGCACACATACACTCGCACGCACGCACACACACGAAGAGGTAGGTGGGGCAAGAGGGCCCCAGAGCACAACGACGGGTAGAAAGGGGGTGGGGAGGGGGTCTCTCTCTAACACACACACACAAACTCACATGAGGGGAAGATGAGAAAGGAGAAAGGGGTATGAGGAGATGTGCACGCAGCACTGCGCGCCGAAATATGACCTTAGGGATTAATGAAGTGCTCTTGTTTAAGCCGGCATCACTCACCTCCCTCCCCCTCCCCTACTCATTGCCCCTGCCCCTATCTCTTCACCCCGCCGAGCCACTACCACTGCTACTGCTCCGCCGCAACCCTTTCGGGCGCGGGCCGCAG